TGCTGGTTGTAGACTTCTCCCCTGAACAGTACCACTGGACAATAGCACTGAGCCATCTAAACAGAACAGGAAATTCAAAGACAAGCATTAGTGGTGTACTGCAGTATCAGTATTTGTGGGGGATGGAGAGGGAAGGAGGCAGTGGGGAGTGAAACCAAATTTAATCCTGAGTTTACAAAAGGTAGAAAACAAATAGAGTTCACATATGAAATACCTTTACTGCTGAAAGTTTGATGTTAGTTTGCCACAGGCTAATTAAGTTCATTTTGTCAAATGAATCTGTGGTTCTAATGACCATAGCTGCCTCCATCACATCAGGGATCAAAACCAACACCTAAAAAATGTATCCTTTACAAATACTAAGGGAAGGCCCCAACCTCACCAGGCTCCCTTTTAAACTGTCTGAGGTATGTATTTTGAAAAGAAGAATGATTCTTGGATGGCAGATAAAAAAGAGAACTTAAAAGAGAATGTATTAATAGCCATCTTAACTTACATGGAACAGTCTTAAAGCTCAAAGGTTATACGCTAGAAATCTGGCACATCACTTCCAGCTGCAGAATATGCTATACCTGTTGTTAATAAAAGCAAATGACAGAGGATCCACTGAATTATTGGATGGAGTTGCCCAACATTCAGTGAGGACCACCTTGAGCTTGCTTCCCTCTTTATGAATTCCTACTTCAATCAGTATGTCATCACTGGCAGAAATGCTGAAATTTTTGGGTATTGGAGAGTTTCCAACAAACAGCTGCATTTCAGTAATAAAGCGTCCGGATCCATGTAAATCCTCAAAAATGGTGTAAACCCTGCAAAGACAATTTTAAAGATCATAGATTCAATAATATGTTTCTGTAGGTGAGAAATATAAAGCTTGGTTTTCTGGCATACATGGACCACCAGAGTGAGGAAGAAATCAGCCAGCCAACATGATGCTAGGATTTTCAGGAGAGAGTCGGTCCACGTTACATTGGCAGATGTAAGGGAAGTATGGAAAAGAGTAGTGGAGAAGAGAGTAAGAAGCTACAGAGGGTGAAGTGTACTGGCAGTGTAAGGGGAGAACACCGAGGGAAGAGGATTGTACCTTACTTCAAGGCTCAGAATGAGGCGAGCTAAAGCTTGATGCAGAAGACAAGAGGAAGCCAATGAAGGGATTCAGAGAGGGAGTGACCTGTTCAGAATGACAAGAGAGGGACACAACTGTTTGGACATGCTGCAGGAGAGTGATAGAGAGGAAGGAGGTGGTGGTCCAGTAACCAGGGCCCAGACAGGAGCTGTTATAGGGATAAGGAGGAAGGGCCAAGGTTTGCAAATGCACTAGAACAGCATTTCCCAAACTTTGATACCTGAGGCACATGGTCTTCTGGATCAAGTTTGGTGGCACACATCACTC